ATTCTTCACTTCATCTGTGTGCATGCTTATATTTACGTACATTATGTGTGCTCGCAGTGCCTGTACAGATACCTTTCTACAGATCTTTGGAGTTTTATGTACTATCCTTGTGTGCTCCCATTATGTTTTGTGTGTGCGCACATGTACTATTTGTGTGTGTATCCATGTATACACTGTCTCTGTGTATAAGCTCACTATGTGGAGGTACAGAAGCTGTTTGAGCTTGTGTACTCCTCATGTTTGTACACACATGGGGGGCGGTGTGTGCATGCATGTGTGCGTACAGTGTTCTGCGTGTGTTACTGAGACCAAGCCTATGCTGCAGTTAGGAAGTTTGGCTATGACCTTGACGAGCTCAGGTAATGAGAGCAGTGAAGGTGTGGCAACAAACCAGCTTCAGCTTGTGTTGTCCAAGCTTGCCTAAGACCCTGGATGTGTATCTGGGTGGTTAGCTTCTGGTTACAGTGTAGACTCTGTGTGTGTGTGTGTGTGGATACACATGTGCACATGTGTTCACAGTCTCCAGGTGTATGTGCATCCAACAGTGCAGTTTTGAATCCTACCTCCTGCAGCCATCTGCTGTATGAGAAGGATGGGGATGGTCACAGGCCAGTGCAAATGGAAGACCATAATTCTCCCGGCACTCACAGGTTCTTGACAGACCTTGTGCAATCTGGAGAGCTCCAGAAAATGCCACCTCTGGAAGGGGCTTCTTAGCAAATCTCTTTTCCTGTCTACACAGGAATAGGATTCAGTTCCCCTGCTCTCCCTACCAGGCTCTGTGAAGTGTCCCAGGTTTTCACCAGCCTTTTCTAACCTGCCCTCTCCCTTGTCATTTGTGTTTGTTCGTTCTAGGAAGGGACAGAAGCTGACAAGCAGGAGATGGTGTCTGGATTTCAGCAACTGCACCAGTTCTTGCAACAGCAAGACCACCACCTGCTGGCACACCTGGAACAGCTGCAGGAGGAAATTAGAAAGAAGAAAACTGAAACATTCATCCATCTCTCTGAGGAGATTTCCCATTTCACTGACCTGATCACTGAGGTGGAGGGGAAGTGCCAGCAGCCAGTGAGTGAGCTGCTGCAGGTGAGATTGCACTAGAGAAACCCCAAAGCCCTCCCCACGGATGGAGGGAAGAATGCTGCCCGGTGCATTCAGGACTTGTTCCCACCTCTCTTGCTATGTTTGCAATCATGAAAGCCCTGGAGCTGGTGGATAGTAGTGAGAGTTGCTAGTGGAGGATTCGGTTACAGCTCCTGGACTCCAGAATTTACTCCTTCATCAACTTGCCCCAGTTTGGCTGAGAAATGTCAAATCAGTGACCTGTAGCAGGGGTTGATGTTTGTGGTAGTAGTATGAGGAGGGCAGAGACAAGTAGACATGTCTTCAAAAAGAGGCTAGATAATCATTTGAGCCCAGCATTCCTTGCTGCCCATGGCAGGGGCTCGGACTTCATAATCTGCTCAGGTCCTCTCCAACCCTACCAACTACGAAACTATGAAACTAAGTAAGCTATGAAGAATTTAGGAGAACACTTCCTTTTATTCCTGTTTATCAGCTCAATAGCAACATTGAGAATGAATTAGGTCTTGGCAGGGGTTTAGGTTGTAGCCGTGTTGGTCTAAGGACATAGGCAGACAAGGTTCCTTGGGTGAATTTGATATCTTTTATTAGACCAACCCAAATAGTTGGAGAATATTTATTAAGCAAGCTTTTGGGTTCAAAAACCCTTTGTCAGGCTAAACCCTTCGTTTAGGTCTTGGCACTCATTCAGTTTCTGTTGTTCAGTGTTTGCCAAATATTGGGTAAGGTTTCCTTGGTTGTGTTTAGAGTGCTTAGGACTCCAAGGTGGTCTCTCATCCCAGTACGACCTAGGCCCAGCATGGCTGAGCTTCCAGGATCAGGTGCATTCAGTCTGGCATGGCTGCTCATTGCGAGTGAGCTAGGGGATGGGAGCTTTGCTATGCCCTCCTCATAGGGCCAGAGTGCTGTGGATCAAGGGATGCTGTTTTCCTGCTGGACTAGCTGTTGAGGTGTTTTCATGGGACTTGCGAAGCCCAAGTCCCAGCCCTGGCAGAAACTGTCTAAGTAACCATGGGCGAGTTACTCAAGCCCTGATCCTCCCAAATTATTCATGATTAGAACCACAAAGTCATGTATGCTTCTAATTGCCCTTTGATTTGAACCAGGAGTTAATGTTCTAAATACTGAGGATTTGGGCCTAGGCGCCTCTCTCCTATTTACATGCATGTGAATCAAGAAGCTGAGTATTTCAGGGCACCTGAGCTTCAGTCTCAGTGCTGGAGTGCCAATGTGAACTCAAGCTCACTGAAAACTCATTGAACTTTTTGTCTTTATACCCTGACTGGAAATAGCAGATTTACTACCCCCATTTCACAGGAAGAGTCAGGGCACAGAGAGTAAATTATCTCCTACAAGGTCACACGGGGAGTGTCTGGTAGGCCAATGAATGGATTAACCCTTCTTTGAATGTTTTAAGTCCAAGGGTATAAATTATTGCCAGTGTCACAAGGACTTCTGAAGGGGGCAAAGAAAATATTCCCTTTTTCATTATTAACCTCCAGACTATAAGATATGTAGGTGGGCATGAATCAAATGCATTGTCACAAAACATTATTTTTGCTTGTGTTAATGTATGCAAAATCTGCCAGATATGTTTATCTGCTTCTACCACAACAGCACCTGACAACCTCATAGATACTAATGAATCCATCCCCATGAGCCACTGTGTGTTAAGAACAATTATCCTTGCTACATGGATGGGGAACAGAGGTGCAGAGAACACCCCAGATGACTTGCAGAGCCAAGGACTAAACACCTCTGGGAATGAAAAATGTTTTTACCAGCAGTCTTCCATTTCTACAGAGGTGGCTGATCACATTGGCCAAGAAAGACCTTAAGTTAACTGCTAGGAATGGAGCTCTGCTAACTACAGCACCATCAGTATAGATTAACTGGGTCCCAACTCTAGCTCCTGCTGTTTTAAATTATTGAAGAATTATTGGCTTGCGCTGCAAAGAGGCAGAGATGGTCAGGGGCTGACAAGAATTATTGTGATTTGTCATTACTGTCAAGAGCAGGAAGAATCCCGTGTGTATAGCATGCAAGACCTAACTTCTCTCTCTTTTCCCTCTTCTAGGATTTCAGAAGCACTTTGACCAGGTGTGTTCCTTCTTCTCATTCCTTCTAATGCTTCATTTGGAAACTGGTTAGTTCTTAGCAGCTATTAATTTCATTTATCAGTAATCATTGCATGGAAGCCGAGGATTGAACTGGCTGCAGTCCTTTATTTGCTTTCCTGTCCTCTGAAGTGATCTCTCTTCAAGTCACAGATGAAGCAAATTAGGAGTGTTGACGATAAGAGGAGGGAAGCATGCAATGGCGATATGCAGGGGGTGCTCTCTGCGAGTGTTGACGATAAGAGGAGGGAAGCATGCAGTGGCAATATGCAGGGGGTGCTCTCTGGTCAGGCGATGGGCAGCAGGCAGGAGGGGAGCTGCTCCCCAGCTGGTGCAATAAGCTGTGGGGGAACCCCCACCCCCAATGGTGTGATTGGCCGTGGGGGAACCCCCCCCCGTCACTAACTGGTCGCTGTGGGGGGGGCGCACATGGCCCTCCTGACTAAGGTGGCACCAGTCTCCCATGAAAGCATGCACTGTCATGGACTTGGGTGGTGTCTCCTCTGAGGCTGGAATGCAGAGAGGAATTCAACCCCTAGGCACCTCAACCTGGCAGTTTCCACTGGCATGAAATTCAATGTAGAAAGTCGATAAAATGAAGAAGAAACCATTCTGTTCCTCTTCAGGTGCGAGAAGGCAAAGTTGCAACAGTTGGTGGGTGTTTCTCCTGAGCTGGAAAAGAGAGTTGTCAATTCCTACCAGATCAATAAAGCTCTGAAAGAGACTCTGAAGACTTTTAAAGGTACAGAGGAAGGGGAAGGGAGGCATGTTTCTGTAACTGCGGGAGAAGAGGAGTTTAGCTACTAACTACCAATTAGCTACTAACACTCCATGAGGACATTAAATCACAGTACAGTTTCTGAATTAGAAGAGGGGATGGGGGATTTTTCTGGGGCAATCACTAAAAAAGGAACTTCTTTTTCACACAACATGTAATAAAACTCTGGAGCTCATTGCCACAAGCTGTTGTGGAAACTGACAGTTTAACCAGATTCAAAAAGGGATTGGACAAATTCTTGGAGGAAAGGAGCATCAATAGCTATTGAGCATTGGGGTTAGGGATACAGCCTCTGAATCAAAACTTCCTAGACCCTAAATGCTGGAGGCTGGAAGTGGAAGAGGAATGGGTGGGGGGAACCCTGGTCATACCCATCTCTTCCTTCTTTTCAGCATTCACTCTCTGCCCCTGTGTGACACAGGACACTGGGCAGGGTGGACCTATGGTGTGGCCTAGTAAATGGCAGTTCTTATGTTCTTAATAGAAACAGTGATCAAGAAACACAGATAGGAATGTGCTTCCATATGCCATCAATTTATTACTGAAGGAAGGGTCTGACGAATCTTCCACAAGAGAAAAAGACCACAGCTGGAAAAAATAAATATGTGCATATGAATCTGATTCACTGGTCATAATGACCTGATCATCTTAAGTCAGGGATCAGCAGTCCATGGGCCACAGGCTGGGCCTGGCCTCTGAGATTTTATTCAGCCTGCCAAATATATTTGCATGAGAAGGCACCAATTAGTTGCCGCCTCCATGAAACACCACCTCCAGCCCTCTGCTTTCATCAATAGCTACCTCTGGGCCCAAGAGGACCAAGCTGTGCTAATTCACCTCTTCCCTGCTAGTGGCAGGCTGCTGATCCCTGTCCTAAGTCACAAAAGGCAAGAACCAAGTGACAGAAACAATGTCACATTTTCCCATGGGATAGTGTGTAACAGGCCTAACTTCTGTTTATGAATGAATAGCAACAGTTTAGGAAGAGTGCACAGCCTGCCCAACAGGGTAGGTAAATGCTCAGCTGCTGATTACCCTGCACTGAGCTCCATGGTGCTGCAGCGACACTGCTTGCTAGTTCAAAGCTAACTTGGGCATGTGTTACTACATTGCAGGCCAAGCAGTGACTGCAGTGTAGACATGCCCCGCGAGGAATTCGGCACACCCAGTGCTAAGAGCTGGAGGACACATGGCAGAGTCTGGGCCCCTGGGACCTCAGTAGACTTGACCCTCAGCAGTCGAGGGGCAAACAAGGCCTGTGCTGACACAGCCTTGTTTGCCCTGAGTCCGCTTGCTGGCAGCTGCTTGCATGACCTCTGCAACAGCAAGTGGCTGTGGCCAATGGCTGCTTGCCCTATTGCTGCCATTGTGGTGGCCACTGCAGTGGCCTCCATGATTGTCATTATGCTCATGGTTGCTGTACTGGCTCTTTCAGTAGTCTTGTGGATCCCGCCTATGGAGGAGCCCCCAGTCCAGTTCCAGCCCAGGGCACGGGGCGAGTTCGCCAGCCTGTACCAAACTGTTCTGAAAGGACTAGATTACTTCAGTAATCCCATTGTGCAGAGTGTTCCTTTGTTAAATTTCAAAAAATATGCGTAAATGGAAAGTGCCATAAATTTGTAAAAAAAATAAAAAAACAGCAAATATTTATAATATTCCACAAAACAAAAAAAAAGGAAACTGAAATTCTTCTGGTTTTTGAAAGCCATTTCTAGTAAAGCTTCAGT